TTGACCAGATTGCGCACTGCTGCACAGCCGGGCCATGTTTTTATCTTTTCTCTCTGTTGCCCATATAGATTTAAGTGCTCAAAAATATTTTAATAAACGTAGAATAGGAAAGTACGTCATAATGGTACGTCAAATCAGTGGACCGTCAGGCAGCCAAAGAAAATATCATTATAAAGGATTCTTTAGCAACGTGAAAAACTGTGTTACAAAGTAGAATACGTTTTATCTACTTTTGTTAATGAGTGTATGTAGATGCGTGTGTATAACGTATTTATATATGGAGAAAATGAAAGAAAACTCTAGAGAGAAAGCAGCTCTGTGGGCAGTCAGCTTCTGCCTGACCTTTCATCCTTTAAGATAACCATTTGAGTGGGGTGAGACTGGGATGGGAGGTGCTGAGTCCTCTGTCGCTAGAGGCTGTACAGGCACAAAAGAAATCACTGGAATCACGGGGCACAAAGGGCTGTCGAGGTGCCTGGTCCAGGAGGCCTGAGGCAGGCATTCCTTCCCTGCCCCGGTTTACCAAGTCCTTCCTCTTGGGGCCAGAAGGAGCAGTGAAGTCCCATCAGGGAGCAGCACTTGTGTCTGTGCAGAGGGAGTTGGGTTTGAAAAGATATCATACAGACATGATGGCCGTGTGCTTGGAGGCTAAGAGACTCATTTACCCCTGAAGATGCTCCTCCTTAAAAGCCGAAAGCCAGGCTCTGTGGGAAGCACAGACTGTTCTTGGGACCAGTTTCTTAATCGGAAGAGTTAGTACTTCCCCCTTTTTTCAGAGTCTGCTGTGTGGCTCCCCGTCTCTCTTCCTATTTCCTGAGTCCTTAGGATGTGCCACGGACCACGTGTCACAGCGTCATTGTCTGCTTTCACTTTCCATAGCTGCTCTTGTTTAACATGAACTAGAAGCGTGTGTGTGTGTGTGTGTGTGTGTGTGTGTGTGTGTGTGTGTGTGTTTCAACACGCTCAGGGAAAGAAGGTCCAGGAATCAGTGTTGGAGTATTAACTCAGGTCAGAGACTAGCGGTTTTTCCTCCTAGCATCGTCACCAATCAGCCGGTTCAGTTTAATGATCATTACTTTGGCAGGTCTGTGTCCCAGGCCCCTGGGGTGGCAGGCACTCTGTCATTAAGCACAGTTCACCTAGCCTTGTGTTGACACATCCCCAGTGATGGAGGTGGGGGGGCCACGCCTCACAACAGCTCATTTTCTTTCTACATATTTTTGTCAGAAAGTTCTTCTTGGAGAGTGTGTGAACCTCTGTCCTCCGTTACCGCGCAGGGTAAGGGCTCAGTCCCTCAAGACTGCTCCCCACACCCCGCTTCAGATGCCAGTCACAGGTCCAGGTTGTCACCTGTGCTTCTGACCAATCAGCTGTCAATGTGGACTCCCACAGCCTGCTGCTCGGGCTTGGTGAATTTGCTAGAGCAGCTCACAGAACTCAGGGAAACATTCACTTATGTTTACCAGTTTATTGAAGGATATGATGAAGGATACAGATGAAAAGATAGAGTGAGGTCTGGGAGGGTCCAGAACCCAGGAGTGTCTGTCCCTGTAGTGTGAGGGTCACTCTCCCGGCACATGGATGTGCTCACCAACCTGGAAGCTCTCTGAGCCCCACACTTCTGGGGTTTTAGGAAGGTCTCCTCATGTAGTCATGATCAGTTATTCACTCCATTTCCAGCCCCTCTCCCCTCTCTAGAGAAAGGGGTGGAGGCAGGGACTGAAAATTCCAAGCTTCTATTCATGGCTTGGGCTTTCTGGTAACCAGCCCCTGTGCAGGAGCCCACCCAGAGCTGCATTTGAACAAAAGGTGCTCCAAGTGCTCTTATCACTTAGGAAATTACAAGAGTTTTAGGAGCTCTGTGCCAGGGACTGGGGGCAGAGACATATATGTGTGTGTGTGTGTGTGTGTGTGTGTGTGTGTGTACATATATATATATATGTGTGTATATATATATATATGTGTGTGTATATATATATATTTTTTCTATTATCTCACAGAACTCCTGTGCAGTCTCTTGTACCCATAAATTGCCTTGTGCTAACTTTTGGTAGGGTTACTAAGTTATACCCTCAGAATGCCCCAGAGTACATTGCCTTAGGGGATCTGTGGGTTTGCCCCACTTGGAGTTCAGGCCAGGTGGCTGGGGCCCCAGAGAGGCTGATAGAAACAAGCCCACGTGGCTGCCCACGACCGGCTGCAGTTCCTGTGGTCAGCGCCTGTGGGGCTTTGTCAGCTCCATTTGTGCTGAGTGATGCTAGGTCTTCTGCCTGCTTCTCGCCAAGTCATGCTTTCACAGATCCAGCTCGCCTGGCTGCCTTCCTCTTTCACGTCATTGCATCAGACACAGTGCCAGTCATGCGTCTCCACATCCCACCCGTAAGCCCTGTTAAGTGGGGGAGAGGTCGTCAGCTGGGGCATTTAGGCATCTGCATAGAATGTTGGCCTGAGAGTGTTCTAGTCTAGGATGCCTTGGTCATAGCTCCATGTCTGCACTGATCCTTTGGGTGTGACCACTGTTCAGGGTTACCACCCTATGACATGGTTCTAATCATGCCACACCCTCGCCCTGTCATCATCTCCAACCAGGGCTCAAAGACTTTAGACACGTAGAGGGCTCCTGGGCCCTTTGCAAACTGGTCTTAATCTGTTTTTAAAGGCCATGCTCTTCCTCACCAGCCTTTTACCCATACATGCATCTCCTCACGCCACTCTTGAGTCACACTAGGTTCTTGTAACTACTGCTCTTTTATCATGTACACCTTGGCATGTGCTTCCTCTGTCTGGAACGACTCTTACCTCCTTTTCTTTTTTTTTTTTTTGACTGCATTGGGTCTTCATTGCGGCATCGGGATCTTTTCATTGTGGCTCACGAGCTTCTTTCTAGTTGTGTGTGGGCTCTGTAGTTTGTGGTACGCGGGCTCTCTCGCTGAGGCATGTGAGCTCAGTAGTTGTGGCTCGCGGGCTTAGTTGCCCTGCGGCTTGTGGAATCTTAGTTCCCTGACGAGGGATTGAACCCACGTCCCATGCGTTAGAAGGCGGATTCTTTACCACTGGACCACCAGGGAAGTCCCAACTCTTACCTCCTTTACCTGACTGTTGGAACCTGGTCACTTTTCATCACCCTGCTCAGAGGTTGGCCCCTGGGTGACCCTTCTTTGACTGTTTGGACTATCTGACCTTCTTCTTCCTCAGAGCTCCATTTTCCCCTATGCCTGGCCCCCCCACGGTGTTGAAACCATTGGGATATGCCTACAAATCACAGCAATGAGTTGGTGCCCTGCATCTCCCACCAGCGCAATGGTGGGAGAGGCCTGACAAAAGGGAGAATTTAAATAAGATTTAGAGTGTTATAATACCCAAAATGTTCAGGATACAATTTTTAAAATCACCATAGTGAGAACTAGGAAAATCTCAACTTGAGTGAGAAGAGACAATCATACAAGATATAAAGAAGAGCCAAACAGACATCTTAGAGCTGAAAAATACTATAACATAAAAAAAGAAAAGAAAACCACAACTCAGTATATGGTACCATGGCAGAATGGAGACGGCAGAGGGAATCACCAGTGAACTTGAAGATAGAACAATAGAAGTTACCCAGTCTGAGTCACAGAGAGAAACGAGACTGATAAAACTGAACAGATCCTCAGGGACTTGTGGGACTAATAACAAAACACATGTATGTCATCGCGGTCCCAGAAGGAGAAGAGAAAGAGGGTGGGGCTGAAAACGTATTTGGAGAAATAATGGCTGAAGAGTTCCTAAACCTACAGATTCAAGAAGCTGAGTGACTTCTAAACAGGATAAACTCAAAGAAAGCTGCACTGTCTTGTCTCGGTTCAGGTGATTGACGAGGTGGACAACAGAGGGGAATGTGTGCCAGCTGCAGTGCTCTCAGCAGGCTGCCTTGGGGAGGCACTTTCCCCTGAGTATCTCTCAGGCCCTGGAGGATGAGCTGTTAGGCAAGAGCAGGCTTGGTTTCCCTGAGGAGTTTCCCCTGTCTTAAAGCCACTGAACCATGGACGAGTTTTGTGACTGAGCAGGCCCTGCTTCCACTGCAGCTGGGGGGTCTGGGCTGCCTGTTCGCCTGGGCTCTGTGCTTGCTAAAGGGGCCGACTGACTTACTCGCTGGCTTCCTTCCCTCCTGTTGCTGCATCCATGGCCGGCTCACTGTGACGTCAGTGCCAGCTTGGTTGATCAGTCATTTACTGACCAGAAGTTATGTACAGCGAAGGCAAAGCCACAAATACTTCCTGGAGGATGATTTTACGCCCCGGTGTTGTAAACAGTCTGATGGAGAAAGAGCCCTGTTCTTGCCTCATTTGCCCTTTCAGAAGCTGGCAAAGCTCCCATCATGCTCTTGGCCTGGGTGACCAGCAATTTGTCCGCCCTGCTCTGCAGGGTGTCGGGCTGCCTGGGGACTGGAGTGGCTGCCTTTGACCTTCAGCATCAGTGGGAACTGGCTAATCAGTGAAATTCAGGAAGAATAGCCCCTGTCTCTCTACCTATCTTATGTATGTATCTATCTATGCCCGTTTCCAAATGTACATTGTCTTTATGATAAAAGTGAAAACCTACGTACAGACCTACTTTGTAATAAAAGATCGAATCAGACCTGCTCTGTTTGGGGTGGGCGAGACCTACTTGGCTAGTCTTTTGATGTACCCCCTTTTTCTGTGCCTAACCTTACAGATGAGGACATGAACGCCTACTGCCAAGTAAGGGATTTGCACAGCTGGAGGCAGAGCTGTGGCAAGAGCCTGGTCTAGTTAAGAACGTGCTCTACTTGCTCACGGCCCTTTTGGGTTGGTTGGTTGGTTTGTTTTCTGTTGCTGACAAATGCTGCTTTGGGCCCCATGAGCTCTGTAGTGTTTGGCGTTCCTCCTTTCCACTAAATGTAAAAGAATGGTGATTAATGGGCAGAAGGATCACACAGGGCTCCCAGAGGCTCCTGGGAGGGCCTGTGGGGACCTCAGACTGTCTCATGGTCACCCTACCACACCTGAAATGGAGGGACACTCACCAAGCAGGGTGGTCAAAATTTTCCCATCAGAATATTTCACACAGCAGAAGAGAGTGATTTTATGTCACAGAGTCTTGTCTCCCAGACTGTACCGAGGTGCCTCAAGGCACCACAGCCGGCGCCCAGAGGTGCTCAGGGAGAGTCCACGTCTGCCCCCGTTGGTGCAGCTTGGGGTGATTCTCAGTATCAATGTGGGATCGTCTACATTCCTTTGATCTTCTACATTCCTTTTGATACTTTGTGTCTTTGCAAAGCTGGGTTTTCAGGGGTTGTTTGGATCTAACTACTCCTAAATGGAACGATTAGGTATTTCTCTTGGCCTAGGGATACCATGAAAATTTCGCTGAAATGTCAGGGATTCCATGAGCTGAGAAAGTTTGGGAATCTGTGTCCCGGAGGATTGCCGCACAGGCACACTCCCAGTCCCGAAGTTCTTTTCAATCTGCAGGCTTCACATAGTGGTTCATGCAAATTTTACATTCTGTGTGTTGTAGTGAATTCACTGACTCCCTTCATTCATTCCACGGGGAGTTACGGAGCACTAGATTATGTGCCAAGCGCTGTGCCAGGAAAGTGTGACGCCCGGAAGTGACGGTTGAGCCGAGGTCTGAAGACTGAATAGGAAGCAAGTAGAGGGGGAGCATGCCAGGCACATGTAAAGGCCCTGGGGCAGGGATGCAGTGACACCGGCTGGAGAGATGGGTAGGCGTGTTTGTGTGCACTTCAACGTGACGATGGTGGTTTAACAGCTTGCTCTCGGCTTCAGCCCCCATGCACGCTGCTCCGATCCTAGTGGGAAGCATAGGGTGAAGGTTTTTCCTCCCAGGTTGACTTCCTTCTTGCCAGCCTGCCAATCCTTCCTTCCCACCATGTGCCAGATACAGAGGTGCCTCTGACACAGATACACGTGTCCATTCAGTCTCCCCACTTAAATGGGTAGTGAGCACAGCCCTCCCCTGGGAAGCTGGCGCTCCTTTCTAGTTTGCCGCTTGGGTGAGCTGCTTACCCCTTGGACCCTCCGACTCCCGGTTGTAGATCAGATGTTCTCCAGGGTCCTTTCCACTGCCCTTCTTCAGCTTTTGTCTGTCTGACCTCAGAGTTAAAGCTGCTGGGGACATTCTCAGGTCTGTGGAGACCTCAGGTCTGAGTGCTGGCGTGTCCAGCATGCTGGTGAGGGCCTGCTGCAGGGGGTCAGTCACGTTGCCTGTGCGCAGCGCCTGGTCATCTCTGCAGTGGGGCAGGAATTCGTGGTGTCCTGATTCTGAGCTCAAAGGGAGAGGCCTGGGATTCTGAAGGAAGCAGCAAGTCAGCTGTTCGAGACAGAGGGAGAGGGGAGAAGAGTGAACATAGCCTCACAAACTGCATTGTAATCACGTGTCTGTGTTGTGCTTTCCAGAATCTAAAACCGCTCCATAATTGTATGCCACGCTTTGCCAGCCCAGCTACTCTAGAATCTGATGCTCATTCATTGAACAATTCTATTCAGTTGCTATACCTGATGCTCATTATCTGCCCTTGTGGGTTGACCCTGTAGTCAGGGAGATGGCCAGTGGGGAAAACGTATAATATATGTCAGGTAGTGATCAGGGCTATGAGTGGGGAAGGGCAGGGAGAATGACAAGATACTATAGCAAGGCCAGGTCTCTCTGAGATGGTGACCTCTGAGCGGAGACCTGAATGAAGCAAGGGAGAGAACCCTGCAGGTAACTAGAAGAGAGTCCAGGTAGCCGTATTAACATGTGCAAAGGCCCTGGGGCACGAGCAGGCCTGGAGGCTTGAGGAGTAGTAAGGAGGCCAGTGTGACCGTGACCGTGAAGTGTGAGGAAAGGGGAGAGCAGTTAGAATCGGGGTGGGAGTGGTACCCAGGGGCGAGATCGCATGGGACTAATCGACCACGTTAAGGACGTTAGATTTTGTGCTGAGTATGATATGAAGTCATTTGAGGGTTTTGATTAGGGAGGTGACAGAGTCTGACTTTTTCAAAGCCTCCCTCTGGCTACTGTGTGGAGAGCAGCCCGTTAGGCACCTCTCGCAGGGTCGGGTGTGTGGGAAAGCCGCCAGGCAGCTCCCCTTGCTCTGCGCGCCGTCGCCTTAGACGCCTCCTCCAGGGCTGCGCTTTCTCCTCTGATTGCTTGGTCGACTGCGCGCGTGTCAAGAAACAGTCATTTCGTTTGGTGGGCATCAGTCACCCCTTGGTAAAGTAAGGGGGCCGGGCGGCCTGAATCAGAAAGGTGGCCGGACAGGGAGCGGGCGGTCGTTGCTGCGATGTGAGGGGCGCCAGCTGGGGGCTCTCCGGAGTCAGCACATCAGCCCTGCCCGGAACCCCCAGGCTTCCAGGCGGGCTCTGAGATCATGTGGGACAGGTCCCCTCCCCTCTGCTTCTCCATGGCAGTAGGCTTGTGGGCCAGATAACAGTGCCACCGCCAGGGTTGGATAGAAAGATGTGACTAACATTGAATAAATATTCAGTGTGTTTATAAGTTAATGCTTAAATATAGACAGTACTCTCTGGGCACTAGAATTAAGATTGTCCTTTAACGTCAGATATCGCAAAAGGGTGTAAGCTGACATGACTCAGGAACTCAGCATGAGGAAAGCCCCTCAGATTAATAACGAAGCCAAGAGCCAGGCTTGAGGGCCGTCCTGAATGGCCTGTTCCTGGCAGGTTGCACAGGTCAGCAGGACTGATGCCCAGCCCTCGGATGACAGGGTGCTCTGCTGCAGGGCCCACCCTGTGGCTTCCTGGAGGCGGTGACAGCTAAGGGAAGTCAGATGTGAAGTAATCTCCCATTGCCCGAGTTGCAGAGCTGTGACTAAGGCATTCCTGACCGAGTCTGGAGCCTGGTTACAGTGAGAGCCACCCACTCGGTGACAGGGCACAATGCCGACTCCAGAGCTGAGCCCAGCCTCGGTGATAAGAGGCAGAAATGCAGAAATGCGCTGCTGGGGTTTTAGGTCCTCTCACCTCGGGTCTTTGTTGACTCATATCTACATACCCGCCAGGTTTCAGTGGTGGAAGGACCAGTTGAGCACCCTTCAACGGAGCTAAGTAGGTTGGTGTGCTGGGGTCCCAAAGACCACCCCCTGGCTCAGTGATTCACCAGGACTTGCAGAACTCAGAAAAGCTGTTTTACTCTCAGTCACGGTTTATTACGGCAGAAGGAAACAGACTGAAATCAGCAAAAGAAAGACTCCGTAGGACAGAGTCTAGCAGGAGCCAGGCAGAAGCTTCCAGTTGTCCTCTGCCCGTGGAGTCACGCGACGGTGCTTGATTCTCCCAGCAGCCTCGTGTGGAAGCCCACTTGAGCCTTGGTGTCCAGGTTTTTTACTGGGGGTCAGTCTTGGAGGCATCGGGCGCCCCAGTGCCTAAGCTTACCTCCTCAGTCTCCAGCACCCCAGAGGCGACACCAGTGTGATGTGATTCAGAGCCCCAGGTGCTCCCCTCAATCACATCATTAGCATAAGCTACGTGCATGACCCAAGGTCTCAGTATATGGAGACACCTTATCAGGTGGCACATTCCGTGGCCCCAGGGGTGATTTCCTTGGAGCCATCCAAGGGCCAGTCCTGAAGACCTTTGGAATGTGCAGGGTTGGGGGCATCCCAGGCCTGCCACACAGCTGGGGAAAGGGTTTGCTGTGAAGCGGCCCCTCTATCGTGTGGAAGCAGTGCCTCTGCTGTGTCCTTGTGGGGCTGGAGAATGCGGGCACAGGGAGGCTGTGGCTTCCGTTCTCTGTGTCTGCAGGGGACCCAGTCCTAGTTCTAGCCGTAGGCTGCACCCAGGTGTGCCCAGGGCTGTGCAGGCACCGCGCAGGCCACGTGCGCTCTTAGTCCTGGTCCAAGGCTGCAGCTGCTGCCCCGAGGCTCTGCTAGTTGCTGCAGCCCTTGGGGCGTGAGCCCCAGACCAAAGCCTTCGGGGGGCTTCCCAGCAGGCCTCAGATGGACCCTGCTGACGGCTGTCCTTCTGTCTCCCAACAGTTTCTCGATCAACATGGGAGACTCCAGTGTGGAGGCTGGCGCCACCGCATCTGACACGGTGGCTGAAGAAGTGTCCCTTTTCAGCACGACGGACATGATCATGTTTTCCCTCATTGTGGGTCTCCTGACATACTGGTTCCTCTTCAGGAAGAAGAAAGACGAAGTCCCCGAGTTCACCAGAATTCAGACCACGTAAGTGACTCGCTCAGGATCCCTCTAGAGCACATCTCTGCCATCCCAGCAGTGCCTGGGCAGGAGCGAGCCGGCTGAGAGCTGCAGGGTCTCTCGTACCGTGTTGGGCTGCGTCTTGGGTTTTGCCTTATTGATGGACTCTGCTTTGGAGCCACCTTCGTAATCCCTTATGTTTACACTGCACTTCACAGTGTTCAGGGTCCTTTGATACCTGTTTCTTATTCAGGCTTCACAGGAACCATTCTGAGTAGAAGGCACCTTGCACAGACAGGTAACCTGAGGCTCAGGGCATTAAAGGTCATCAGCGTAGGGCAAGGTGTGGGGAAGGGGCACAGAGCTTCCATGCCCCCTCTGGGGTGCCACCCTGCCAGCACCTCCATGTGTCCGGCAACCCCGAAACTCTCCAAACCCCATCCTTTTGGGGTTTTATGAAGGTTTTGTTATGTAGGCATAATTGATTAAATCATTGACCATTGGGGATTAATTCAGCCTCCAGGCCCTCTCCCCTCCCCGGAGGTCAGTAACCCTAAATGAAGGCTCTTGTGGGTGACGGTTATGATGTTACCTAGCCCTGGTCCTGCCGCAAGGCAGCTGCTTAGTCTTTGTGTCAGAGAGTGTCTCGTACCAAGCACTACGCTGGGCGCTACAAGTAGGCAAAGGTGGCCTTTACATTAAAGAGGCTGAGAAGTCAGGACATTGAAAGATACTTTTGAAAAATGGTTTGTGAACTGCTTTCACGTGCATGATCTAATCAGGGCCTCTGCGACAGCAGTGCCCACTCGGTGCGGGGGGACGGCCTCATCGCTCATGATGGAGGGAGAGGCCAGGCAGCCGGGACACACTGGCTCTGGGGACTCCAAGAAGGAATTTCCCCTTGGAGGGATCGGGAAGGTGTGCTGCTGGAGGAGGGCCACACCCCGAGGCTTCGAGGACTTTGTCAGCAGAGGGCCAGAGGGAAGATGGGAGGCTGGGCAGGTGAGCAGGGTCCAGCCTGTTCCCTCGGGGCTGGACAGGTCCATTCCTGGTGTGGCAAAGTAGTTTTGCTGAAGATATGGCACTCGGGATAAGGGGGCCAGCGTCCAGGGCCCAGTTTACAGTAGCCCTGCGTTTCCTTGTCTGTGGGATGGAGGTGTGTCCCCACCCCCATCCCCAAGCGAGGTTGAGCCGCAGGAGAGCATGGGGCTGCCAGCCTCCCCGTCCCCAAGATCTCTGGCCTTGCAAGATGGACTTGAAGCAGAACTCCTGGACTTGTATCTTGTGGATTCTAATTGTTTCTCCTTGCCAGGATGCTGAAGCAATATTTCCCTCTTCATAATCTTAAAATTTTAACCCTATATGTTTAAATCCGCTTCTCATCCCTTATTATATCATGTTGAATACCCCATGGCCAGGGGTTCTACGTGTACACTGCACAGGGAAACTGTCATAGTGCAGTGGTTAGGTTCTAGGCCCTGACACTGGGTAATGAAGGTTTGAGTCCTGACTCTACCATGTATTAGCCATATGACATTTGCCCTTAATATGACATTAATCTTTTGAAGTCTCAACTGTATCTTTTGAAGTGTCCTCAACTGTAAATTGGAGATAATAATAGAACTTACCTTGTAGGGTTGTAAAAATTAAACGGCATAAGCTGTCGTAGAGCTCTTTGCCCAGGTCCTGGAGCCCTCCAATGGTATGTATTTTATGGTGCGTGGGCTTCTCATTGCGGTGGCTTCTTTTGCTGCAGAGTACAGGCTCTAGGGCATGCAGGCTTCAGTAGTTGTGGCACGTGGGCTCAGTAGTTGTGGCTCACGAGCTTAGTTGCTCCACAGCGTGTGGGATCTTCCCGGACCAGGGATCAAACCCGTGTCCCCTGCATTGGCAGGTGGATTCTTAACCACTGTGCCACCAGGGAAGTACCTATTCTTATTATTAATACCATATCCAGTCTTACAGGAGCCCTCCAAGAACACCATTATTACCCCATTTTGCAGAGGAGGAAACTGAGGCACTAGTGATTGAGGAGTTTGCCCGAGGCCACCTAACTCACAAGTAGCAGAGCTGCCTTTTGAACCCAGATCTACAAACTCCACACTCCCTGTTTTCCCTGCTTTGCCATGCTGCCTTCCATCTCTTAAGAGGTAGTTAATATCCCTATTTCAAAGATGAGAAAACTGAGACTCAGAGTGGTCACTTAGCTGATACATCTGGGCCACCAGCTAGATGGTGGCCACCAGCTAGATGGTGGCCGCCACCTCCTGCTAGAAATCCCGCACTGTTGTCCCTGCCCACTTGTACTTTCAGTGAACACAGGTGGTTTTGGCCATGGCACGGTGCCTCCCTTACCCCAGCAG